AGCTCCCAGATCAGCTCCTCTGATTGGTTGATGTGGCGCGTCCAGCAGCTGCTGCGTTTGCAGCGCGTTCCGCGCGTCAGCTGCTCTACAGCTCACGACGCGCTGCTTCAGCTGCTCAAAACGCTGGTAACAAGTGCACGCAATAGGTCTGTGACGGTCAGACATCTTGATTGTTACTGAATAATTATTTTCCACCATAATTTACTAATAAATTCATAAAAAATCCAACAATGTGATTTCCAGGATTGTTTTTCCACTTTGTAGTTGAAGTTTAACTATGAGGAAAACTACAAACATCTAATCTTTCTAATCAGGGAATAGGTATATGTATATAGTATATATTGTATATTATATGTATTGAATATGTATATATAATTTTTTTTTCAAATCTTAATGAAATAAACTGACTCTGATCTTGTTTAATGGGTTTTTTAAAGAAGATAGCCCTTCAATCAGTAGGAATCATTGAACGGGTTCTCTCAGCCCTCAGCAGCATCAGCAGCAGTGGAATCCACCTCCATGCGTCTTACCTCATCCATCCCTCGCAGAGCCACGTTGGTGGTCCACCAGTAATCCACAGAGATGAAGATCCCCACTGACAGAGACCTGGAAACATCAGCCGCTTATTTTGGGTTTGGACAACAGAAAAAATCTGACAAACATGCTAATCTGGAAACCTGCTTATGTCCTCATCCTTCTATCCTCAGTAGGTAGACATGGTGTACTCTATTGGTGAATATTACCACCAATAGATCGCCTCTCAGGGGGCAGATGGTCCAAATGCACAAATCTGATCATTAATCCTAATTTCCAGAAGCTTTTTATATCAGATTTTAATCCTGCTGTAGTTTAAACACCAGTGTGAACCAGATAGATAACTTCAGATCACAGCAACTACTAAAAACAACATAACTTCTTTATACATATAGTAAAGTTACACACTAAATTAAAATATAACCATTATATACGTCATTCATCATAATATTTGTATGTTCAAATTTATATTTTTCTATCCCAATGTCTCTACAAAAAGGTTTTTCATTCAATTATTCACTTTTATTCCAACAAAACCAACAAGAAAGGAAACAACTGAAAAAGGAATAGTGACCTCTGCTGGTGATTTTATGAACTGCAGCCACTCAGAAATCCAAATCATTTTTTTTAAACCAGGTATTCCAGTCCTTTTCATGGTGATTAAATCAAACACCCAGAACCGTGGACTGTTAATAGACACTCTAGCAGAACTGGGCTTTATTAGGAGCTCAGTAAATATTAGTTGAATATTAGTTGAAAGTTAAAAAGCAAGTTAAAAGCATTTTTGATCATAGAGACATTTTCCACCTTCTCCAGTTGACTTTGTGTTTCTGATCCTACAGGAAATAATCAGAGCTCCTTTATGCACCCAACCAAAAGCTTTTAGCTTTTATTTAAATCCGTTTGTTTATTCTTTGTATAAACTCCAAACTATGAAACCTTAAGCAGCGTATCAATACATTTACAAACAAAAAAAAAGTAGAATTTGTAGCTTTCAGTTCAGAACTTTTAACTTTTTAGGAGTGCAAATTTAATCACTAAAGATTAACTAGATGCTTTTAATCATCTCCATTTTCTACACATGAAATTAAAATATTTCCATCTAAGACTCAAAACTCAGACCAGTAGTGTTATCAGAATTAAAGGCACGGCTCGTGATCTTATTTATTCTCTTACAAAAACTACAGCAAAGTTTTGGTAAAAAACTTTAAATAGAAATCGTTGAGGAAAGATTTTAATTATCAACCTATTTTTAATAGTTTTTGTCGCACTATTGGCTTTAAATCACTGGTACGGGCCGAGGATCAAGGCCAGGGACAGCTGCCCCATTGGCTGAAGCCTCTTCATAGTGCTACGTTCACACCGTACGTTATTTCAGCGGCAAAAAAACCCGGGGGGTGTTCACAGCACCAGTGGCTTGTTTTTTTGGACAGTAGGCTGTCAGAAAAGGGGGTATGAGAGAGGGGGAGAGACATGAAGCAAAGGACCAGAACCGGATTGGCACCCGGGTCGGCAGCACGGTTTGCGTCACGTTTGCTACATAAGTTACGTCACGTTTTTTTTTTTTTTTTTTTACGCAAGTTACGCCAGGCGTAACTCTAAAAAAGCAACAACAACAAAAAATGGCGTCCATTGGTTAAATCGATCGAAACTTTGGATGTAAAGTAGAAAGAACATCCAACATGCAGAAACACCTACGCACACAACATGGCATCCTGCTTCCTAATATAAACGGGAAATGCTCACTGGGGCCATCTAGTGGTAGATGAAATACTTTGCAACAAAGATTCAAGTTCACCAGTCGTAAATAAAATCACTGAACCAATGAGCAGACTGATAACAGCACCCTGCCTCTGAGAGCTCGTCTCAGTAAAAATGACTGCGATAAAATAAAAAGCTGCTAAAATCCTGAAGCACTTTTTGAACTGGGAATTATTTTAATTCACACCTGATCAGAAGAAATCTGACCAAAGCTCCTGAACAGAGGAAACCGACATATTCTTCATTTATAATGTTAGTAGAAGAATAAGCAGCAAAAGAAGATTTAATGCTAAATAAGTGCAATAATCTGCCCGTGCAGTTAGACCATTGCACTTTGTAAACATCTTGATATCATGATCTATATTCTCAAAACGATAGTTTATCAATCATCATAAGAAATGACTTTGGTATTAAAAAGAAAAAAAAAAAGATCAAAAAAAGTAAAAAGATCTTTCCCTTAAACTGAGCAGGTAAATAAGACGATCGGGAAAAGAAATTTATATTTTTCAACTTAAAATAAGTTCATTACAAATCATCCATTCGAATTAATATAATGGAGTTGTCTTTTACTTATTTTACTTGTATATGTCCTGCCTTTTGTTAAAAGACAGCGAGCAATTCATGGCATGGATTAGTTCCATAAATAAGATAATGAATGAGTTCATAGTTTAAAATTAGTCTAAGGAAATCCATCTTAAAAAGCAGCTAAAAGAGTTTGGGTTTATAACAAATCAGAGTGAGACATCTCGTTTTTGCCAGAGCTGAAAGTTAAATACCCGAGGTAGTGAGTGCTCTCACTCTGAAAATATCTTTGACGTCTTTTTTTTTTCTCTGGAAAATCCCGTTTCAGCAAGTAAGCTACAGAAGATGTGGATCTTTTTACAAAATCAAACACAAATGCAAGAAAGAAATCAAAACCAGATTGCGTGGAGAACTTTTTTCACGCTGTTCTCTGGCTGTCTAGCTTCACATGGTCACGTGCTGCGAGGATAACACAGTAAATGTTTACTTTCCTGCTCAAATCAAGGAAAAATACACACTTTTTTCTATTTTTGTTAGTGTATACTTTCAACAGAGGGGCTATAACCGGGACGCTGGCCCCTGTCGGCCCCCATCTAGAACCGCCTGTGGTAGAAACCCTGCATGCATGAAACCAACCTGCAGAAACGGCCGAATCCTTCAACCACAATCCTCATCTTCCTCCTCTGCCTCGGCTCTGAGGCGGCATACTTTGCAGCCGCTGCTGCAGGGAGGCCGACAGAGAGGCCAAGGAGGGTCTTCCACAGCAGCCCCCGCTGCCGCCCCGCCCTGAAGGAGAACACCACTGCATCAAGGAGACGGACTTACATGGAATAGGAGAATTGAAAAGGGACGGATACCTGACTGAGCTGAAGGATCTGATGGTTTGATGCGGACGTCTTCTCAGGAGAGTCAGATGATGATTGCATAATCTGAACTAAAGTGAAACAGAGAGGCTGCTTATTATAACGGCAGCCAAATAACATGCAGTCTATTTAGCTGTTAACCAGGGGGGGGGGGGGGGGGGGGGGTATGGGGTCCCGTATATAAATGTATCCAGTCGGAGGAATATTTTGGATTATTTGGAAATACAGAAGAAAAACTGGGTTAAAATTCCCAGTAATATTTTCCACCATATCATTAAGATATTTAACAAACATCTCATTTTGAAACTGAACATTTAATTAGACAGATAATAATATTTACTTTAAAAATTCAAACTAAATATTCTTAAACAAATATTCTATAACCATATACAATAAATCTATTTAAGAAATCACAATGTTTTTAGCTTTAAATGAAATATTTAGTTGCAATATTAATGTTTCAATTAAAGGAAATCATTTATTTTGCGAATTAAACATCTATATCCAAATTAAATAATTAGTTGACAAAGTAAATATTGACCTTTGAAACTAAATATTTGGTTTAAAAGTACATTTTTATTTCACTAACTAAATGTTTAGCTTTCAAATCAATTAATCATTTCTCAATCTGAATATGTAATCCAAAAGTTTCATGTTTAGCTTGCTGGCTGAATATCTTAGACAACTTTTATTGTTGT